GAAGACATGTGCTGAAACAGTGTTCTGGGGATACTATGGACCACAGGGTCCCGAGTGTTCCTTTTGTATATCCCCATTCTGAGCATGACACAAAAAGGTCATGGTCCCTTATAAGAATGCTGTCGATCTTCGTTGCGGAAGAGTGTATCTGGTAAATTGGATTTAAGAAAGAGCTAATATTCTCTTGCTTTTAAAAACATGAAAGAATAGTAGCAAGGGAGTGGCAGGTATGGGTTGACTCTTAAAGCTTATGAACAGGGAAGGCTCATGCCAGTGGAGAGCTCTGAGTTTATTCCAGTGAGAAGACAGCAAACGGGTATAAGTCTTAAACACAACCCCAGGGCCTTCTGTTTGGCCTTCCAGGACTCTTCCCAGATGACCTGTTCACTAACTTAACCTAGAAACTGAGCAAAAGATTTGTACATTTTTACCCCCAAAGTATCCAAGCACCCAGAGACCATCAGCTAACTCAAGCATTAATACAGAGAGTGAAAGCATGCTCTTGGCAATAATATCAATGGACCAATAGATGCAGCAGGACCAGAATGAATTCCTCCAAATGTTTTACTTCAATGTCTCCACCTTGCTCTCAAGGTAGCAGAGGTGGTTCTCATACTTGGCTAGGGTTTGTTTATACTCCTTGTCTTAAAAAGATTAATAGTTTTCATGAGCCATTATAGAAAGAACTGATTTGAGATATTTTCAAGAAGTCCTGTAGAGTGTTTTGTGGCAGTTGAAAAGGTCTTACTTAAACTGTTAGAAAAACAAAATTGTTAGTATAGGTTTACTTTAGGTTCTCTAAATGCTGCGAGAACTCTTCAGATCTCAGATTAAATTAGGTTAAGAACACAAAATAATGGGCAATTTTTGTCTGATTCTGACATCCTCTGTACTTTCTTCTTGACTTAACATAGGGGCCTTCTCTCAACCTTTTCAAAAGCAATGTGGTTTCTTTTCAATGTGAGGTTACAGAAATGAATCATTTCCCCCCTTGAATGATTTCCCAAGGGAATTCATCATTATTTGAAGTTACAGTCTGAAACTCCAGGCCACAGGTCAACAAACCAAGTAGTTATGAAAAGACCAGGGTTATTGGTGGCCAAGAAAAGAGCGAGCGTAGGAAGGAATGAGAGGGGCGGGGTTTTGTGCAAGATTTAATAAAAAACAAACAAAAGTAGGAATGGCTGCTTTCAAAATTCTTCAGGCTGTGAAAAGTTTACCGCGATTACCTGGGGTGTGGTTCTAAGATGCATCAGTGGAACATATACAAAATGTTGACCTTCTCCGAAGTCAAAAGGTTATAAGCTATGCCCCCTGACCTGCTTCCCTAGCTCCTCCTACAGGCTAGTGAGTTATCAGTGCTGTGATCCAGGCAAAACCACATATCCATTGGCTTGTTCTCTCTCCTAATGAAGCAATGTGCAACAGAGCTACAGCCACCCGGGCCTGATTCCACACAGTGCAGAGCTAGCTTATCGACAGGCTACAGAGCCTTAATACTGACAGTGAGTGAGTGCGGTGGACTCCAGTGGGGATTCCAACATAGACCCAGCGGGAGCAGATGGCCCTCTCAGCCCCGACTGCTTGGCTTATTTTAGAATACCATGGAAAAAAAGCTTGGAAAAAGACAATAGGAAGTCGGAATCAACATTGCAGGGAATGGTGTGAACAGTCCATAAACCAGTCTTTCATGCATCCATACCCACAGTTAATGATGGTAACAACAACAATAAAAAAAAAAAGACCAGATGGGAAAAAAAAAAAAAAAAAAAAAAAAAAAAAAAGGGTACAGACAAAAAGCAGCGTTTGGGTTGTGCTGCTGCAAGCCGGAAAGGGTATGTGTTCAAGTTGAATGGGACACAGCTAGTCTTTCTTCAAGTCCCTGCATTCAAAGAGCTTCAAGCGTTCTTGTACTGTCAGGCCTTCCTTCAGACTCTGGGTGAAGAGCAGGAGAAAAACAAACAGTTAAGGATCAGGCCTAACGGAGGGGCAAAGGCTGTAGTCAGAGGCAGGAAGGGTGGAGGGTGGGGATGGGAAGGGATCCTCAGATGTTAGTTGGGCATGCTAAGGAGAGAGCCATCTCCTGTGAAATGGTGTTATCTGGATGAAAAAAGGAAAAAAATCAGAGAAATGAGACCATGTGTTTAAGAATTGAATTCTGAGCTTAGGGTTCTTTAGACAAGCAGGAATCAGGCCGACCCAGCCAGGGAAAGAAGATTGTGCTGAGAAATAGAAAATCACCCATTTTCGTCCTTCTCCCAAGTGTGGACCGGTCCGTGCCTGGCTCCTTTGCAATCATTACCCTGAGGCCTCATGCGAGGACCCGAGAGCTCCCAGGGCACTGCTGGCAGATTGTGGGCCAAGGGCCTCCCTCCCTGCTCTTTAGATGCGCCCTGGCAGTACCTGCTTCCTTCTGACCTGATCTTGGCCCTCCCTGATGAGAAATCCTGTTGGATTTTATTGTTAAGGGGATTTGGGAACATGTCAACATACCAAGATTTTCGGAGTTTAAAACCAGTACTCTGTTCTTATGGGACCCTGGAAAAGTTTAAATTGTGTCTTGAGATGAGTGACACTTTACTAATTTGGGGACAGATTATTTCCTGCTTCACTCTTGGAGGCTTTTCCCAAAGATTTAATTTCTGGATGAGAAAAGGAACACTTCAAAGCATAACTGGGATGAATGAATTTCAGCACTGGCTGGGATGGGCCTGGCTCCTTAGTTGCCATCTGATCTTCATGGCAAGTCTCAACATCAGACTCAGAGTTGCCAGTTTCCCCAGCTTGCACATGCTAGAGGTGACAAAGGTACAGGCTTCACTAAGACACATGAAACAAGGCTGGCCCCAGTGCAGGTTCCAGATGATTACACCAGTTTCAGCCTAAAATCAGAGCATGCTAGTCCTGGGGGCAGAGAGCCCAGCCTGACACTTCAGAGTGGGCATTTGTGAGTCTGTGAGCTATTCCTCCAGAATAGTTCTGCTTGCTTTTTATACTGTATAAATGAATAAATGAAGTAACTTTTTTTTTTTTTTAAAATAAAGGGTTCTACTGTTAACTTTTTTGAAACTCATCTGGATCTCCATGTAAGCAGTTGGTCAGGGTCACTTTTGAAGCTTGCCACTGAGTAGGTCAGAGGATGGGGGCAAATCCACATCCCACTCCAAACCTGAACTTCTCTTAATGCACACAATGGTCTCACATGCTTTTGGGTCACTTCTCCGAAGTGCTTCATGTCAAGGGCTGCTGTCTGAACAGGAGTCAGTTTCGTACAGGTGCTGGCATACATGTGGCCATGCTGCAGAAGGCCCTAAACCTAAGTGCCTGGCTCACAGGCAGGCCCTGTCACATGCCACACTGTTCTATGCTAGCTGGGGACTTTCCCATGATAGCAGTGAATCACCACACCTGAGACCTGAGGGACAGCGAGTGTTTTGTCTTTGAGTGTGCACCCTCTGTGCACTGTCATACACCTCTGAGTGACAGTACCTATTGTGCTCAGGGACAGGCAGCCAGGGAGCAGGGCAAATGAGGGGCAGCCCAAGGCTACAGCAGGCCCAAGGCTGTATGCTCAGTGCCACGCGCTGCCACAAACTCCAGCTGTGAACCTCTGCCCCACCCCTACTTCAGGCACCTGGAGAAGGGCCTTTGGTATAGCAGCTCCCTTGGGGCTCATTTCTCCCACAGGGCCAGTCTCTCCATCAAGCACCTCCATGACCCCACACTCATACTGACAGGGGCCTCTGGGGGTAACATTCTCTGGTTGCTGCACTGCTCTTAAGCAATGAATTTGCTTTGACTTTATGGTGCTGAGACTCTATCCTTTTGAGTGGGGGATAATGTAGAAACAGAACATAAAGAAAAATATAAATCCTTACATATCAGATCTCATATCAAAAAGTACCAACAACAGGTTCAGTTTCTAGTCAGCTTCATTCCCCTGTCTTCCCATGGTGGGTGGGGTTGTCTCCAATTATAATCAGGGACAAGGACAATATACACCCTTGAGGGAATGCCTGTTCATCACTTTACAGGCCCACGTCTGTTCAGCATCACAGCAGGTGTTCCTGAGGATATCTGCAAGTTCCCCGTCTTTCTACTTAGGCCCGAACACCAGGGCTTTTTTCTTACACTGGAAACATGGCCAAGCCAAACGTGGACTCAGACCCTTCCCTGGGTGTACCTGACCATTTTCTTTTTCTACATTTGCTCCCACAGACAAGGCTTCTCTTGTGAAGTCTTCCTCTCGAGCTATGTCCATAAGGGATATCTCAGCTTAACCCTGCTTGTGAACTTGGTGTGTGTGGGGGTGGTCTGCAGCGATGGGAGACTCTGCTTGTCAGTGATTGCCGAGTGTTTGTTAAATCAAGCCTGCATCTTGACAGAGGGCAAGAGGGTTTTCCCCAGAGAACATGAAGTGTGCAGAGCATTCGACATGCATGCTGGCCGGGGCCTGTGCCCACCTGAGATATTGGCTCTGTGGGTTGGCCTGCCAAGGTGGGAGGGGAGCTCCCCTCTGCCAAGGGTCAACTCTGTTAAGAGGTTATACTGCCAGTTAACTCCCCAGAACAGGTTAAAGAAACCACTTGGATTGTGTATGTGCTTGCTGGAGTAGCATGAATTAAAGTCACAATAAAACAAGGAGCTTGCTATTGAGGTGTGAGAGGTGCATGCAAGATAGCACCCCTTTGAGGGTAGCAGGTGGGTGGGTGGTGAGAGGTGGTTTACCTACATGAGAGGGGACCTGGAAGCGGGCTGGTTTCAGTTATCCCATGAGACCTGCTCAATTACGGACTGTCAGAGGAAAGAGCAAAAAATAAGACACACACACAATAAATCCTAAATGCAACATGCCTGTCACTCCCCACCCTCAGCCCATCTTTCCCATGGAGACGCACAAAAGGGACACGGGATGCATGCTGGGAATTTGCTACTATGAGGCTGGTGGGAAGGGATGCAGGTAGCTTCCTCTCTTGAAGGCAGACAGCATCAGTTTTAAACTAAGGATGTGCAAGAAACAATACCAACAGAGTGGGGCTGACCCAGCAGAGGATTGAAGTGAAATCTGGACTTGGAGGTCCAAGGTAGAATTCACTCCAAGCCCTGCTTCTCATAGGCCTGGCCCTTCAACTGTCATTGTCAGGAGGTGGTTCCACTGTTGCATGAAGGGGACACAAAGCCACCAGCAGGGTAAGTGTTTGGGGGTGGGTGAGTTCTGGGACCCTGGGGACCCCATGCTGCTGCCTGTAGTGGGCTTTGATTCCTGCTCCTCTCTCCAACGTCTGCCAGACCCCACACCCAGGATTGGACCCAGAATCACCTTGGACCTGATGTTTCTGAGTTGCCGGCTGACACAGGTTCTGTCTTTCTTCAAGAAGTCAGGGTTGCTTTTAGATTTCATTATATCTGAAGGAACAAAGAGACCCATTTCTAAAACCCTCTGGAACCAGACTGAGTGTTTAAAAATTTCTGAAGCTGATTGTCATCGCCACACACTTGCTGACATTTCCTTAAACAATTTTTAAGAGAATTCAAAGCCAATAACCATAAAACACACTAAATCTTATTCAGAACAACTCAAAGCATGGAGGAACTGGAAGACATTTGTGTGTGAGGCACTCGGCCACGTTCTCCCAGCCCAGGACTGACCATAGGTGCAGCCAAGCTCTCTGCGGAGAGGGCGTGCGGCACCCTACTCTGGAGCTGCATCTCATTTGCTGAGCAGACCAACTGTCCCCATTATTCATTTATCCCATCCTTCCTCCAAGACTGTTAAAAAACAAAAGAATAAGACCGAGTCCTTCTCAGAATCCACCCTTACTGAGACAACAACCATTAATAGTTCAGTGTGTATTCATTCCTTCAGACTTCTTGAAAATGACTAAACAAATATACATTGGGTCATGTCATCTGTCCTGTGTGTGTGTGTTTAAAAAAAAACCAAAAAAAAACACCTTAATATATTTATTTACCTTTGTCCATGTCAAAACAAAAATATCTACCTGATCTGTTAAGAACTGCATAGTATTTCACTGTGTAGCAATGTCTTAGTTTAAACAATCTTCTCTCTGTATGATGCAAAGAGAGGACTGTTTGGGTGGAATCAGTCTTGCTCCTGTATACAGTGCTAAATATTCTTGTTTGCACATTCCTATGCACTTATTTTTTTTTTTTCAGAAGTTAAACAGGTTGGTCACAGGATGTATGCATTCTTCCTCTAATTCTAAGTCTTCCTCTTTGTCTCCTGGCTATCTTGGGTTCCCCTCATAAGCATTTCTTTAAATATTATCATTTCTTTACCCACCCAGAGTGAGTCTACAGTTTGATTTTAAATTTTGCTATATATTGCCTCACTGCCTCCCAGAGAGACTGCTACTTTATCCTCCCAGCAGCAATGCAAATGATTTTCTCTCCACTCCACCCATCCATCAGTACTGCCATTATTATTAATCCTTGGCTAGTGGAGAAAAAAGTTGTCAATTTCTGGATATCAGTGAGCTACAACTCCTTTTCAGTAGAGAGCATCCTCCCCTGCTCCCCCTGCCCATCAATGACCTTCTGTAGATTTCATGGTAAAACTCAAGGATCAAGCAACTAATGAAAGCTGTTTCCACCAACTACTGACTTCTTTTGGAAAATGTAAAAACATAACTTGTCATTACTATGAAAATATAGTTGATGATGTGATTTCCCTTCAAAGCAATCAGCACAATGTCTGCCACCAGCTACAGGGGAACGGATTCCCACCCCAGGGCGCCTGCCCGCCCTGTGGCCCAGTGACCTGCTGGCTGTTCTCTGTAAGGAAATAGAAGTCTAAAAAATAGAAAAGGAATTCCTCTCCTTTGATTCAAGCCCAAATAACTCTATGACCAAATCACCAAGAGTCACTGAGTCACAAGCCAGAGCCTGAAGAGCTCACCATATCCTGACACAGGGGTGTTTTCGGGAGATTTTTCACCCAGTGCTTCTGTGGCTGCTTTCAGCTGCTCTTTCAATCTGCTGATATCGCAGTCAGCCTAAAACTCAAGGATCAAGCAACTAATGAAAGCTGTTTCCACCAAACTACTGACTTCTTTTGGAAAATGTAAAAACATAACTTGTCATTACTATGAAAATATAGTTGATGATGTGATTTCCCTTCAAAGCAATCAGCACAATGTCTGCCACCAGCTACAGGGGAACGGATTCCCACCCCAGGGCGCCTGCCCGCCCTGTGGCCCAGTGACCTGCTGGCTGTTCTCTGTAAGGAAATAGAAGTCTAAAAAATAGAAAAGGAATTCCTCTCCTTTGATTCAAGCCCAAATAACTCTATGACCAAATCACCAAGAGTCACTGAGTCACAAGCCAGAGCCTGAAGAGCTCACCATATCCTGACACAGGGGTGTTTTCGGGAGATTTTTCACCCAGTGCTTCTGTGGCTGCTTTCAGCTGCTCTTTCAATCTGCTGATATCGCAGTCAGCCTTTGCCTTCACGATGCTGAGCTCTGTGTAGATGTCTTTGTATTTGTCACTAGCGTACTTTTTGTCCTTGGGGATAAAAGGACAGAATAAACAGTGGTTATAGCCAGGCTAGGCGGTCTGTCTCTCTGGGGAATGACTGGGGCGTGCCATCGGCAGCAGGGGAGGTAGGTTGACCCTGGTCTTTCAAAGGCAGAAACTGGGTGCAAAGTAAAACAGGCAGAGCTGAGAGTCTCCGTCTGGACATGGTACGGGATCCCTGGGAGCTCCAGCAAGTGCAGGCATAGCACAGTCCTGACCCCTGAGGACTTCCCTGTGGCTCCAGCCTAGAAAAACCCCTTTCTGTCTTGGATTTCCTAAGGGATCCTGACATCTCCTCTCTGATTCTAAGAATGTCCTGGAGGAGACTGGCAGCTGACTGAGCTCTCACTTCCCAGGATGACATTTCTCTTGGGCCTCATCATCCTGATGAAGCACATAAGAGGCATAGAGAACAAGAAAGATATGTAAGACCAAGTGGGCTCATTTTTATTATACCTGCTTAGAAGCTGGTGTTTTAAGAGAACTTGATTTTGAAACCACATTTCTATGAAAATGAAATCTACTCTAGAACAGCCTATGATACTTGCCACATACAGGGACCTCTGTTAAGTTCTGGAGACATGTGTCCCTAATCCACTCGGAGCCCTTTCTGAAGATCCACCCATAGTGACATGCCCTTACCCGCAATGCCGTCTGTAGCTCATCCTTTAGAGAGCTGATCTCCTGTTTTAAGTACTGTATTTCCGATTCCTTGACTCGCAATAAGACCTAGAATGAGAGAGCAATTAGGGATTGATATTCAGGTGCAAAGGGACTTCCAGAGTTTTGAAAGCAAAGACAGAGTTGAGCAGAGAACTCCCATCCACACAATGATGAGCAGACAACTTTCTTCTCATCCTTACCAATATGTAATTGAAAATATCAGCAATGAAAATTGGAACACAGCTTAAACATTGCATATAGAAATAGAAGAAAGGAATTTTTGCGATTCTTCCTAGACCCGAGTACCCTTTTCCTCAGTCTGGGGGCCACAGCAAGTTTCTGGAACTGAGCCCATGACGGTGTCCATAAAGGTGTCCTGTTGAAACTTTTGAACTCACTCTGCCATTCCCACATCATTTAGTAGGAGATATTTTCATGATGAAATTTTAATTGAATGGGAAGAAATCTAAATGCTTTCATAACAGGATATCTTATACATAAAAATCAATTATTCTGACTTAAGATGTACCTCCCTGATCCTGAGTAATAATAGGGTATTACAGAATCTCAAGTAGCTACAGTGTCTAAATAATTACTAAATGTTTTATTTTAGGCGATCAGTATTTGTGGCATGGCAGAAACAGAAGGGAAGAGGGTAGGCAAGTGAGGATGAGTTAAAGGTCCCTGCGGCCTCTTGAGGGATCCACACTTCTGCCGTGGGTCCCATGCCTGGCAGCTAACTGTTCTCTTTGCTGTCCTGGGGTGATTAGGATCTTTCCATGTTCTTTCCCTCTTGCTGTCTCCAGGTCTCGTCTCTATAATAATCTCTGTAAGCTAATGGCCACCCTTGGTCCCCACTTGGGGCTTGTGAGGTGCAGAGCTGGGTGAAGAAGGGGCCTGGCTCTGAGCGGTACCTCTAACTCATAGGCATCCTTGCCCTGCGTGAGAGGCGAGCTAGTGGCATCCCCACTGGCGTCCCCGGTCAGCAGTGTCCGTAACCGTGCAATCTCCGCAGCCAGGCGGTTGTTCAGCTCCTGGGGGACAGCAACAACAAAATAGGGACGCTCAACAGAGCTGCCTGGGGGCTGTAATCACACAACATAACCAGGAGAGGTTGTTTTATGAGGCAGAGATGAACAGGAATAGGTGGCCATGAGAAGTACTTACGTACACTGTAGCATTTTAGATTTAATGTGTGCAGGTGTCACTGCCTGCGATTTATATCCCTTGTAAAAGCCATTTATGTGGGTTCTGTAAGTATTTGTAGAGTTGTGCATGCAGGATTACATAATCCTTAATACCTTTTTGTCACCATAACTAGTGTTACTCTGTTTCATGGTTTTCTCATTTGAGTTTCTGTAGGTTTAGGCCCTCTTGCTGCCCTTCCCACTCACATTCTGTATCTTCTTTCCAAATGACAAATGGTCATCTTAGGCCACTGCAGTGACTAAGCACAACCAGTCCTGCCGGAGTGCCCTCATATAAGGCAGCCTCATCCTCATGTAGCAGAATGGCCACAGCTTCACCATCTGCAGTGAGTTTCTGTCAACATACTGAAGGTCTTGAGCTTGAATCAATCCAATGCATCTATCTGCTCAGTGCCTAGGAAGGATGAGCAGGTGGGTCATGAGGACAGTAGTCCAATTTGGTGCCCACAGAGAAGCTTTTATCGAACTAAACCTATCTTGAGCCTGTCCATTAGCCAGGATTATAAATGTGCCCCAGTTTTCTAAGGAGTGGACAAATCTTGAGAATACTCTGACAAAAATAAATCTGAGCTGCATATGGTCTTGACTGGTGAATGGAGACCCAGACCAGGTGCGATGACACTGCCTAGCAAAAGCGAAGTGGAAATTCAGATGTTCTGGAGGGAAACTGAGACATCTTAGAGTCTCCAAAAGGGCTGGAGCCAAAGTGACTCCAAATGTAAATAGCTGGTTCATGTAGCAGGATGGCCACAGCTCTACCATCTGTAGTAAGTTTCTGTCAACACACTGGGAGATGCTAGAAGTCAGGGAGGTGCCTGCAGATCAGGTGGCCACTCTGTGGCTCCAGGACTCTAAGGGATACCTTGAAGGTGAGGACTGGTTCCCAACTCTAGCATGGGCTCACCTGACTTCTAGCTCACCTGGCTGAGGACTTACCTGATTGTGGGCGTTGAGCTCCTGGTTCTCACGCTGACACTGCCGCAGGGCCTGCCGCTCTGCCTCCAGCGCCTGGGCCAGGTGGGCGTTTTCCAGGCATTTCTGTGAGTACTGCTCTGAGAGGACCTCCAGCTCCCGCTGCACTGACTGCAGTTCCTCCCTGGGAAGAGGGCACTGCTTACTCCTTTGCCTTTCCCCCAGGGCCAAGGCCTCCAAAAGGTTCTGTGTCCCCATTGTATAACTTGAGGGGCAATGAGACAACAGAAAGAACTGAGCAAGAGAGGAATCCCTATGCATTTTGTTGTCTCAAAAAGTTTGTACCCAACTAAATAAGGGAAAACTTAAAAAGTACTATAGGATTATAGAAGTCTATTCTGTGTCCTTCCGTGGTTCTCTCAAGTAGCTTAATAGTCTCATGGACAAAACTTCTCTCTTGAAGTCAAGAGAGAATTCATTCACTTGTGTTGAAATACATGTCCTGTTTTTGAGAGAAATCAGATTTGCAAATTGTTTTCAGCACTAACTTTTGAGGCGATCTGTGTTTGATAAGCCAGTACCAGGACCTATTCACACACAGAAAATCAAAGCCTTGCAACATTGTTCTCCACCACCCTGGACTCCTTGAGAAGGGCTGTTTCTCCCAGTGGTGGAGCCAAAGATGAAGGGCTTTAAGGCAAGCTGACCATGCCCTATGCATCTGCACCCGCTCTAGCCGAGATGAATATGATTGCAGTTCACAGAACTGTCTGGCCCTGGCCCTGACTGCACTGAATGGGAGCCCTGGAAGAGGCAGGGACCTGCATTCTTTTATGTTGCAAAGACCTTGATAAAGGCTAGCTCTGCATGGCTCTCGCAGTAGCCAATTCAAGAGCTCCCAGTGGTGTTAGCTCTACTAAAGGAAAAAAATGAGTAGCTGTGCTGCTGTATGCCTTTCAGTCTCTTGTCTATGCAAAGGGAAATCAGCATACTTTTTAAAAAATGTAGGGTTTATGGCCACCTCTGCCATGCACAGCCATAAAGCACTAGGCATCAGGCCCTAGACCAGATTTCCTCTTGCAAGCTACTGAGGCAGTGGCAGAGAACAGCTGATGGAGAGAACAAATTCCAGGGATGGCCTGAGATCAGCCCCAAAGAACGGCAGGTAGTTATAAAATTTCCTTTGCTGCATCTTATTCTTTAGATTTTGGTGATTAGTTTTTATTTGTTTTAGTAACAAGAAGCCCACTTGGGCCATGAAAGCCAGTGGCTTGATGACCCTCGAGCAACACTCAGCCTCTCAGGGAAAGTTTTGAGCTGCCCTCAGTTCATATGGGCCTCTACCCAGTGCCATCCTCAGGACCTGTATCTGTGTGGCTCCCTCAAAGATACAGGAAAGGTTCCTACAAAGGCACTGCTCCCCACCAAAGGGCCACCCTCCAGCCCCTCCTGAGAGCAGGAAGCTGACTCACAGATACTGTCGCCGCAGGGCCTCGATGTCTGAGTTGATGCTGCTGATCTGGGACCGCTGGCTCTTCTCCAACTCGCGCTCCATCTCCTCTCGGTGGGCGTTCTTCATAGCTTCAATGGCTGCATGCAAGGACATGGCCATCAGCACCAAAAGGCTGGGAAGCCAGACTGACAGAGATGTGACGGCTCCCCAGTGTTAATGCTTAATCCATCTGCAGTCAGCCTGGCCTCTCCCAAACCCATTCTCTGAGGTGGATGCAGGCTAGGAGAATTCTCAGGAAACTTCCCACAAAAGGGATGCAGGTGTGTTTGTTCTTTTGATGTTAGATGAAAACCAAATTGATTAAATAAGTATCAATGTTATATTCAAGCATAAGTTTATAAAACGAGAAAGCTTTCAGACTGCTATATTTTCTTCCTGTGTACTAAAATAATAAACCACCATAAAGTATAATTACATAAAGAGAAGGCAACACAAAACCTATGGCACTGTGCTTTCTCAGGGAAAGTACTGTCGGCTCTGTAACAAAGTTGTGCCAGGTAGAAGCTACAGAATCTTTGTGCTCTGAAGTTATGGGGCACTCTGGGCAGAGGTCTTATGCTGACAGGTGTCTGTCACAAGGAAATGCAATCGATGGGACTGATAAGGCTGGGGATAGTCCCTCACGTGTAGCTGGGTATGCTGGTGGTTGTGGGAAGCTGAAGTGCTGGCTCTAGGCTTACAACTCTCAAAGGGCTCCGAAAACCAGCTTTTTCCTCAGAATTGTCATAGAATTCTCTTGAATAATAAAGCTTAAATCTCAGCCAAAAGGCAGCACAAAGGCCAGTCATTACTCTGAGCTGTATATTCAGCTCAGGTAAAGTTTGCTACCTGTTCTGCCCTCCATGCTAAACCAGCCGGCATGCCCAGCTCCCACCTGAGATGGTGGCCGCAGTCTCCTCGGCCAGAAGGCGGTCTTTCTCCTCCCTCAGTTTCTCCAGTTCCCGCTGGTGCTGCCTCTGCAGATCTTCAATCTTTTTCTGGTGTGTTTCTTCCATTGCTGCAAAGCCTCGCTCACATGTGGCCTGCAAGATGCAAAAGGGAACTTATCAATTTATTTCTTTACCTTAAGTTGGGTGTCCTGTTTAATATGCCAATAGCCCTGCCTGCTCCAGGTTTCATGGTATAGAGAATACGCTCTCTGAAGGCGAGCACTGAGCCAGTGGGGCTACCGGATGGCTGTCTGGAGACTCATTGATGCTATAGGGCATTTTATGCTATTAGAGAATTTAGAAAAAGGTATTTATATTTATAAATTGTCTTATTTCTGTGATTGTTCTGAATTCTGTGGAAGGAGTTGGTATTGCAGCTGGGAAATAGCTGCAGTGGAATTTAAAATAGCCAGTCTTGTACCTTGATAGAATTACTGGCAGGTAGGACTGATAAGAGAGAGGGAGGAGAGTGTGCACATGCAGAGCCTGGCCATGTCTGGTTTGAGTTATACAGCGAGCAGCTCTCAGTGGCAGTCATAAATTTGGCATTTCACAGTCCTAAATAGCTGGAGGAAGCCAAGGGCCCCAGCCCTGCCCCTAACCAGCTAGCCATCCTTATCTGGTCATTTAACTTTTCCACTGCCCACTGAGGGAATTATATTAGGCTATGTGATCTCTTCCTTTCTAGTCTGCATCTTCCTTTTTCTTTTGAAGCACAAAGAGGGGAACTAATTAATTAGTGACTCCAGTAACTGTATAGAGATATATAACAGGACTGCTCTCAAAACTTATATACAAGCTGGGTTGGTTTATTACCTGGACATGAGTGCAGGGGAAGGACAGGTATGCCTTAAGAAGGGATCAAACTTGGGAAACCCAAGACTGGCTTATCACAGTTGCTCTTATGAACAGGGTTTGTGAATGTGCCACTCAGATGCAAGACGGTGGCATGTACAGTTATTTTGTGCACAGAGGCACACTGTCTAAATCTCTTAGGTTTCTAAATAGGGATTAGGCCTTTCAGAGATTTTTAAGACCTGAAAGAATGTGGTTATGTTACATTCCAAATGCAAGTATAGCAGAGGCTCCTCTTTCCAATCCTATACTATCGAGTCAATCTTGCACATGGATTTGAGAAAGAATATCAAGAAATCAGATCATCGTGCTTGGGTATCTTTGAGCCCCCACAGTAATTGTGAGGCCTTTCTGAGGTCTTCTATTTAGTATTTTCAAACTCATGGCCATAGTCTGGACTTTACTGCAACTGATATGCTGCAGTGGGCAAATGGTCTTAATTGTTGTCCACCATTAATTGGGCATTCCTTCTCCCAGAGACTCCATCTGGAAGCCAGTGGTCTCCTTTCACTACCATCACACCACAGGACAGCTGGAGGCTAGGGCTTTGGCTCTTGGCCTCTGGCTAGCTCTGAGCCCCTCATCTTCCCTCCCTCATGCTTTGGTTCACCTATGGCTTCTTGGTTAACACACAGCTAGTAGCTCTCATAAATATTAGTTTGATTTGAGTGCTTTAGAATACTTAAAGGGTCAAAATCTTCCTACAGAAACTCTGAGATATTTTTAAAAACTAGCTGCTTCCTAGGAGAGAATATGTGTTAAAAATAATCTGTAAAAATATTTTAATTTTTAAGCCAATAATCCTTGGGACCAAAAAAAGTTCCTCAAAGACTACTGAGCAGAGTCATGAGGGAAGGCGTCAGCCTGGGACTGTAACAGAGGGGCCATCAGACCCAGAGCTCAGTCGCCCCAACCCAGGCAAAAATCTGTACAAATTAACAGAGTGCTATTTGGTTTTAGTTTCTGTGTGTCTCAAGGGAGTCAATGAGAACATCACAGACCTATGTCACCGCTGGAAGACACTGGGTCCCAGCACCATCCATGGCTAGTTTGTCTCCTTTCTGATGTCTTGCTAACTGGTGGTATGATGTCACCACTCTGGCCAAAGCCTTATAAATGCTCAGCTGACTAATGTGGGGGCTGAAATTGCCTCACTGTACAGGAGGCTCTGGTAGAGCCAACAGGTGGCAGGCAGTTCACTGTAGTGGAGAGGGAACACTTGGGCCCCTGTGAATGATGGGTGTGTATGAGCCCAAGCACCTGCTCACGCAGACCTGCTCAGTGTCATGGAAAGCTGCTGGGTGCCCTGTGGGTAGAGCAGGCACTGGAAAACAGTGTTTGTTACTTTTAAAGGTACACATGGCCCACCTGAATGCTGTGCTCACATGTACTGTCACAGGGGGGTTCATTTGAGTACTTTCACAAAACAGCTCTTGAAGCTTTCTCATAATTCATAAGTTTTCAAAAGGTTTTGACTGACTTGGAACTAGAACAGTGAAGATGGCCTCTCAGTCACCTGAGTGTTTGCTGACAACCACACGTGCTTATTTTTGGTCAGTGGACTGTGTTGTCATACAAAGGTAAAGAATACACTGCTAACACAGAACATTTCTTTCTTTTTTTTTTTTTCAGAGCCAGAGGAATGAGCTGCTGGGAATAGGACATTTGGCAGCAGCAGCAAAGCAGCCACTGCAGCCTGAGAGCCAGCTCTGTGCTGTACCGAGGGAGGAGTCATCTCACCAGAAGCTTGACGGGGGTGCTGAGGGCTTGCAAGGGGCCTGGGTATTAACTGGCTGTAGCTCTAAGGGATGGCAAGAAGCTCAAGAGGATAATGCTGAGAAGCTTAGAGGAAATTCTGGGCAGCCCCAGGCATACACACAGGTGTCTCTGGCTATGAAGGAGGTAGATGAGAAGCTGGACTACTTCACACAGCCCAATGCCCATGGGCCTGGGAATGTTAACTGTTTGTGCCAGGGCCTGGATACTCTGCCTAATGAGGCAGAGTGTGAAATGGGGTGCAGGTATGGGGGACAGTGAAAGGAAAAGGTAATTTCTCAAAGCTCTTGAGAAAGAATACCAGCACCTGAAAGCTGTTTTCAGTAGAAAAGCCCTTCCTTCTTACATAGAATGTCCATTAAATGCCAGTTCCCCAGAGTTGCAATGGGAGTGTGATCCTTGACACTGTCTTGCAAATATTCCTATCTTTTGGATACTCCAACTGCTCTCTTAGGACAGTTAGGAGCTGACCCTCCAAGGGTGCCTGTCTTTCCTGGACTCAAGTTTGGGTCTGCACCAGCCTGAAGGTGTACTCTGTGGGGGCAGGAGAAAGGGCGAGGCTAGGAGCTGGAGGGCAGGGGCTTCACTTGCTGAGGGGATGCAGAGGCCACTAGAAGCAGGTAGAAAAGCAATGGGGAGACTACACTCCCTTTCTCACCAGTGACCATGTTCTTCTGCTAGTCCTTTCCCAGTGTGGGGTGTTGAATAGGACCCTTGCCTGGGCCCTGCTATGAGGCCGCACCATGGCCAGTGAGGAGTCAAGGGAGGAACAGAAGGTTGACTCGATTCTGTTTATACAGTAACTCAGAGCCAAGAACCATCTCCCAGCTCCGCCCTGAGAGTCTGATGCACCAGATACCACCCCCGCCCCCAACAAGCAGGAAAATGCCTGCCCCTTGACTGCTCTGCAAATTAAACAATGCTTCAAAACCTTAAGGTTCTCAAAGTCTTTCTGGTACTTCTCTCGCAGTGTGGCTGCATTGCCCTCAAGGTCCTTGTGCTCCAGCTCCTCCCGCATGATGTCCATCTGGGCCTCCAGCTCCTGGATACGCTCTCTCAGCCCCGTCATGGAGTCAGCCTCTCCCTTGGCTGCCTGCAGAGCATCCCTAGGCTGGTTGGCTGGCCAGCTGGAAGAGGGGGGCTGGTGGGGGCTGCTTAGGGGGCTGGGCACGAGCAAGGCTTCAGGGTGCTGCCCCTCATAGTGGCAGAGTGTCTCCTGCAGGCACTGCAGGTTCTGGGAGTAGTGCTCCTGCAAGGTCCTCAGCTCCTCCTCGTGAATTGTCTGCAGCTCTTTGACCTTGAGCTGGAACTTGTCCTCCAGGGTCTGCATCTGCTCCACATGGTGCCTCTCCATGTCCTGCCTGTCTCTTACTGAGGCATCCAGCTGACTCAGGACTCTGCTGTGCTCAGCTTGCAGTGTGTTTTCTGCTCTGTTCAACTGTTCCACCACACACCTGATCTCCTCCTCGTACCTCCCTTGCAGGGCAAACATGTTCTCGCTGTGCTTGCTTTCTACTTCTTCCAAATACCTCTGTTGATGGTCTAGCTGGGTGACCTTGGCCTTGAGCTCTGCGTTTTCCCTTTCAACAATGGCAATCACTTCTAGGTACTCCCTTTTCTGCTTCCGGAGAAGTTCCTCGTACTCCTCACTTAGTGCTCCAACAGCTTGCCTGTGTTCTTGACAGGAGGCCCCCCTGTTCTGCCAGGACTCCTTGTAGCACTGGAGCTCCTTTTCATACTCCAGTCGAATTTTGCAGGCTGCATAACATACCTGAGCCTGAATAATTGCATCTTTAACTAATAATGATGAATACTGACCGAGGCCTCCCAAACAAGTGTTATAGGAGAGATTTTGGGATGCTTGAAGTAGCTTCTGACAATCTCTTACTGATTCCACAGGGGGAAGAGATGTTAAAGCAGCAGATATCTCCCCTAAGAGACAGGCCTTATCTTTAAGCTGTAGGGCAAGTTCTTCCTGAATAGCAACGAGGGCTCCAGAGCTCTCGATGGATAAGTGCAAGGGCTCCTGGGAGCCAGCTATGTCTTGATGGCTCAGTTCTTCTCCTAATGGACTCAAGTCCCAGGATGCCTGTACACCCTCTGCAAAGCCTGCTGGAAGCTTGAGGGCTTCTGAGACTTGCTGCATCACTCTCTCAAAGTCGGGGGTTTGGTAGGCTCCCAAGATCTCCCTCAGCACATGCTTATGCTGCTGCAGGGCTCTCTGGGTCCCCCGGAGTGTCTCCTGGATGCTCTGCAATCGACGGTGGAACGACTCCCTTACTGACTGCACAGCAAAGCTGAGCTCTGCCCTGACCCATGTGGCATTTGCCAGGGCAGGGACCAGGGCTTGTGGGACACTCTGCTGCCCACCTCCTGATGTGACAGTTGCCTCTCTTCCTAGTGTCCCTAGGTGCTCACTCAGAGACTCAACCTGGCTCCAGAATTCACCATCTACCAGCACCTTCCTAGCCCAGGTGTCTGCTGGGGTCCCAGGACAGACTGCAGCACTTCCAGAATCGAGGGGCAACTTTTCTGACTGAGAAATCTCGTGGAGAACACGCGAGATATCTGATGTTGTGTTTTTTAAAGAGTCTGCTATTTGGTTTATCAGTGAGGCTTCCAGAGCTATTTGATCAGAAAGGAGCTTTAGCTGCTCCTGCTCAGTCAGTTCAGGCCGGTGAGTTGGCTGCTGCAAAGTTGCTTTCCCTTTCTCCAAGAAACTCCCTTCCTCTAGCTGAGCTTGGGCCCCATTATCTGCGAGAGGTGGCCAGTGGTGCAGGGCCTGGATGGCGCTGACTAGCGCGCTTTCTACGCTGGCCAGAGGACCTGCTCCTGCATCCTGTGCTTCCTCCTGGCTGGCCAGTGGCAGAGATCTTAGCTGTTCTTGGCAGTTTTCTAAGCAAGCCAGGGCCTGACTGTTTTTAACCTGGAAGTTGCCAAGCTCCCCAACGTGATTTTCGACTATCTTCACCCTGGCTTGTCTTTCCTGATCCAGCTGGGAGGCTAGTGCTCTGACCTGGAACAGGCTGGCGCGGAGTTGCTCGCGGAGCCGTGCCTCGGTGCTGGCCCATTGCTGGTGCAGCGTGAGCAGGGCTTCCTGGCTCTGGCCCTGCTGGCTCTCTAGCTTCAGTGTCACATCTTTAAGCTTCTCTTCTGTGATGTAGAGCTTGGTCTCCAGGGAGTGTATGATGGAGAGGTAGGTGTCAGAGTCACTAGTTGCAGGAAGTGAGCTGGGGGTGGCCTCTGACGACATACTTTCCTCTGAGGGTGACTGGTCCTGACTGGTGTCTGAAGACGTGCTGCTGGTCCAGGTCTTCTCGGACCCGTCGGGGTGGGTGTATTTCTGGCACTGGATCGTGGAGAACCGGATTCTTTGCCTTTTAATGCCGGGTACCCCCTGCTCAGGTTTTGCCGCGCTCTGCAGGTGCCGTTCTCTGTCAGGCATTTCTGACTTTGGGAGCACCATACTTGCTTCCTTCCTGGGGCTGCTGTCCCCGCATTCCTCCTCAAGGGCAGCTCCTGGGTCCTCATCTTCGAGTCTCAAGTGTGGGAAGCCTAGAGGTACGCCAGTGACTTGGAGCTGCGGGCCTGAGAGCACAATGCCATCTTCTTCTGCTTCTTCCAGGGAGCTCCGCGGCTCCTCCACCTCCTCTGAAGATGCCTTTGCAAATTTTCTTAAAATGTCTTCCTTTGCCTGGAGCTTCATTTCTGTTTCCTCTAAGCTGCTCCCCAAGACAACCATTTTAACCAAAGCCTCATTGAGGTCCTGATCTTTCTTTTCCAGAACTTTCTCATGCATTTCCTTGATGTGCTTCAGCTCTTCCTCCTTCTCTTTCAGCAGAGTATGCATGTCCTGGAGCTGGCTGGCCACTCTCCTGTAGGAGTGCTCTAGGCTCTGGTAGTCTGCCTCTCTTCCCCTCAGCTTCTCTTGAAGCTCAGCAATGTCCCCATCAGATACAGTGATGCGCTCCATCAGCTCCTGGAACCGCTGCTTGATCAGGTCTCGCTCATCTCTGAGGCTTTGGACATGCTTGGCCAGCTTCTGGATGCTGGCCTCTTTCATCTCCAGCTGCTCCTCCAGCTGGTGCACTATCTCGCTACCCTCAAACTTGGCACTCAGCTTCTCCTTCTGGAGGACCTCCATCTGTTGTTCATGGTCCTGGAGCTGGTCCTCATAGGCACTGGCTTTGTCTTCCACCTCCTTCAGGTTCTGCAACAATACCTGCTTCTCCTTCTCACAGCTCTCTAGCAGCAGCTCGTAGTTCCTCTGCAGCTTCTCCTCCATCAGCCTTTGAGACTGCTCACTGGCACTGAGCTGCTGGCTGAGGTCAGTGATGCGCTCCTGCAGCCTTTGCACCTCCTTCTGCCGGTCCTTCTGCAGTGCCTGCTGCATCCCCAGGTCCCGTAGCTCCTGTGTCTTCTCCAGCAGCAGGGCCTCTGCACTCTTGAGCTTCTGCTCACTGGCCTGCAGCTGACCGCTCAGTGTAGCCTCGCTGTGCTGCCACTCCTCTAGCTGCTCACGAACCTTGTCCTTTTCCAGCTTCAGGTCACCTTTGAGCTTGGCCAGTGCCTGTTCCTTGATGGTGAGCTCAGCGGCAGCGTTGCTGAGCCTTGCCTGGAGGCTATGGATCTCGGCCTCATGGTGCCGGACCGCATCCTTGGCCTCCCCATAGCTGCGCTTCAGGGCCTGGGTCTGCTGCGTGGTCAGCCCCTGGCGCCGGCACTGGGCCTCCAGCTCCTTTTGCAGATCTTGGCTGACTCTGTGGAGCCTCTGCCAGGCACCGGATTGGGAGGTGGCCACTTCAGTCTTAAAAAAACCGATTAAACACTGGTTAGTAACACTCGGGCTTCCCAGTTCTGAGTGTCACACCTCTGGCCAGGGTCAACCATAGAAAAGTTCCTTGGTGAGTTTGCCTTTTATCCTTTGCACAATTTTTTTTCATTAAAAAAAAAAAAAAAATCGAACAAATCATCTTAATTTTTTTGGTAAGTGCTGCATCCAGGTAAACAGAACATGGACAATAACATCAAAACAGCTTCTAGGAGAAATAAACCAAATGAAACTGAATAATGGAACACACGGGTAAGCAAAACGAAGACTGAAGGACAAGAAACCTGCAGGAAGTACAGGGAGGGCAGCAGAGCATAGGCATCTGTTTTAGAAAACAAAAGGTACACAGGTCTAAACAATAAATCCTAAAAAAAGACGCAGGGTGTGGGTGATGATGTCACTTCCTTCTAGGCTAGGGAGAGAAGGAAGGGAGGCAACTAATAAGGGATGTCAGCAAGGTGACATCCAAACATTTTCCTTTGGGACGCAGAGCCTATCCTCTACAGTAACAGAAAGAACTATCTCTACCTTTAAGAAGACAAAACAAGGGAAAAACGGAAACCATGGAGTAAAATACGATAATCAACAAAACAAGCAAACTCTTCAAGAGATTTAAAATAAGAAAGTAAAGCATGCAAACAAAATACAAATGAAACAAAACTCCCCAAATGGAAAGACATGCAGAATAGACAGAACTAATAATGTAGGAAAAAAACAAGAACATGAACAAGAATGAGAACAGCCCAGCCTAAGAATTTGGCCTGCCTGTGGCCCCCTCTTAGTCTGCTGGTGGGGAGGCCACAGATGTGACACTCAGTTACACTGTTATTAAGTTATACTCCACAGGCATGTCCAAACCATGCAAGCTCCTCCTCCCAGCATGGTTAGCGTAGTACCCACCCCAAGTGGCCAACTCCTTCTGACCCTTAATCCCAACAGCCCTTGTTCACTCGGACTTTTGGTTATAAGCATTCCCAAAGTGCAAAGGGAGATTAAAAGCAACCTGTTATCAGATCTAGCAGGAAGGTGTTCAGAGGCCAGTTCTGCCCAGTATCAACTGACAGGGGCTTAAGTGCAGGCTCATGCAATCATCCAAGTTAGACACAAATGAGGTAGGTTCTTAGGTTAGCAATGTGCAAAATCTGCTGCTAGTATCTTTACCACCTAATGTGAAGTAAATTTGTGTAGTATGTGGGACCAACCAAGGTTTAAAAAGATGCTCCTCAAACCTGGAGGGTTTGCGCGAACGACACAAAAAGCCCAGATTGAGCCGTGTAGGAAAGAGGGGTGCCCATCATCACCAGTTCCCGGTACCTGAGAGTTTGAAAAGCAATAACTACAGCTGAAGGGGCTGAGGAGGGTACAGGGAATGTGGGGTGCCAAGGCTGGGGGGAAAAGAGAAATGAGAGAAAGAGAGAGAAGGCAGAGGGAACATGCAACAAAAACGGTATGGAGGGTATGGAGAGAGGCAGGAAGGCAGACTGCCCAGAGAGTTTATGCGCCGACTTGGACTGAGGCAGCCAAGGTATGGTGGTCTGAGAATGCTGACACCGCAACTCTTCACAGAGACTCAGGGTCACTGAGAGCTGGAAGGGCCCTTAGGACAAGATCTAAGTCTACACAGGCAAGGAGTGGCCGACACTGTAAGGGAGAAGGTCCCGGGTTTTGCAGGTTAATGGTAGGGTCTGCACTTGAACCTGGGACCCTGACTCAAATGCTGGGTCCTCAGCCTTGGCAGAGAGCTGTTCCATCATCCCATTTTGCTTTTCCCGAGTACTCATTCATCAGTTGCCTCTCCCCATTAGCATGTCAGCTCCACGGAGCAGTAGTGTGTTATTCTGTACCCTAGAATTGGAAAGTTGTCCAGCTGGTGAGACACCCTCGGCGCTACCCACTGCTCTCTGTGAATCTGCTTGCTGGCCAGGACTCTGAAATGAAGATCTCTCTGGTGGACACCGGGTTTGAACTCTCAGATGAAGACCCAGGCTATGACCCTCTCATCCCCCCTTCTGGGCTTGCTGGGTGGGTTGCCATGTTTCCCCCCTGAAACTTCAGTCTAGGTAGAAAGAAAGAAATGGGGTCGCTAGACTAGTGGTAATAGACAGGTATGCCTTATAGGTATGGTACAGATACAGACAGAGAACAGGGGATCCAGTGCTAGCTTTGCCAATAACTTGGTTGTTAGGGAGGTACTTGGCTGGCTATGTTACTCAATTTCTTCAATATGTAAAACAGGACTAATACTGCTTTTGTGAAAACAATTAGAAATAACATGCAAATATAAGGTATTTATAATAAATATATATTGGGTTACTTTGAGAGCCAAAAGGATGGACTATCAAAATTATTTTATTAAAAAACAAACACACCCAAAAACCCCTTAGATGTAGAAGTTACGGATTCCCCAAAATGTAATACTAGGAGGAAAAATACACATGGCCCACTGCACTGAGACCTTCGATCTTCTGGTAGAGGAGCCCAGAGGTGCGGCATTTGGGAGAAGCTACCCCTGCTCAGGCAGGTTTTGCACATTTCTAGCCTGCCTGGGCCCTTCACACTGAAACCTCTGAGTGCATCTTGAGGGCCGAGGCAGCCCTACCTGCAGCACGTAGCCTTCTCGGGCACTCTGCTCCCGGCCCAGAGCCACCCTCAACTGGTCCTGCAGGAGACGGTTCTGCTCCAGAAGGTCCGAGGCTTCCTTCTGGCTCTGCTCCAACTGTCGGCAAAAAGATATACATTTTTAAGCAAAATGGTATAAAAAAACAGAAGCAAAGCACAGCAGTGACCCAAGACAGATTTCTGATATTAGCTGGGCTGAGCACATGGGCTCCTTCCTGGCCTTCTACATACCCACAGGTCAGGGATGAACTGGTCTGCTCTTATCTGCAGCATCTGGAACTAAAAGCTCCAGTTTAAGCCATAAATAACAAGGCAGACAAGGATACCCACGTAATTTCCACACCTGTTCAAGGTTCTGACACACAGACCCCACCAGGAAATGAGGCTTTGTGCCTGCACCAGGAAGAACCTAGCTGGGTCCTTTAGGGTTCCTCATGATGGTTAAATAGGTCAGTGTTGCCCTGGGCAGGCCTCATTCCAGGCCTTACCTAGACTTCTACTCCAACAACTCCACTTTTATACAATGGATTCCACATAAAATTGTCTGCACAAATGGTTGCACAAGATGTGGGTAGCAAGCAAGCTATTTCACATTCTTCTCGTTTTCAATGGCTCTGAATTCGGTTATTCATCCACTCACTCTTCTTCAAACATTCCCTACATGCCTATTGGATGCTGGGCCATGTGGGCCACGCTGCCCTGCCCCCAGAGGTTGTGGTATGAGGGGAGCTAAAGTGCAATGGGCAGGGCATTGCTAGGCTGTGCTGTAAAAGGTATAGAGACCCTTGATTTTCAGACATTGCTGTTTAAAACAAATTTATGGTTCAGTGTCTGGCCTGCTGGCTAGCAGGCCCATTTAGGCAGCTTAGGGCAATGCGAGTTTAAATTGTTATTTTTTTTACATCTTGCCTTTATTATCTTATTAATAGACACAGAAAATGAAAAAAATTCAAGTGTTCATGCTAATAATAAATATCAGTCTCGTGAATTTATTAACAAACTAGGAAAAAGGAGAAGTGAAGGCAGACCAAAATGACAAGTCTAACTTTAATCAGCTTATAAAATATTTGAAACATGAAACTATAACGCTGTACCTCTTTGGCCACAGAACTGCCTGTTCAGACTTACAAATCCACTGTTGAAGTTCCCCAGATTTGATTTCTGGATATATTTTCATGAAGGAACATATTAACATATTATGTATGCAACAAACACAAGGGCTGGCTTACCCATCTCTGCATCTGGATGCCCTGAGGGACATGCTCTGGAAAAAGCCTCTGTAGCTCAGCCTGGGTTGAATGAGTTATAGGGCATCTTTCACCTGCTCACTCACCAAGGGCCTGTTTTACATTCCAAATATCTAAAGTCTACCTGCCACCTGCCCTATGCCCTCTTAGGTCTCATCAACAGTCATCAGGCTGCTGTGAAAGCACTGGGGCTCATCTCTGCCTCCAGTTTTGGCCTGTTTGACCCAGAGCTGCCTAGTACAGATTGAAACCTAACTCTGCCTCTATCTAAAATCTCTAGTTCACGCCAGAAACAGGGTAGACAGAGCCCCCCATCTGCGCCTTGCAACCCTACTAATCTCTTCTCTGGCCACCCCTGGCCCTAATGACAGTGCCCTTGCCACATAACAAACTCCTCTGTCCTCTTGGAAAGGCCTGGTGCCCCTCACTGCCACCCTGCATAAGCTGGCACTCCCTTTATCTCTCAGTGCCTATGCTGTACTCTTAGGATTGGTCTGTCCATTGTGTTATCTCCCTGAGCGGTCTGCAAGTCCCTGAGGGGAGGGACCACATCTCCCTGAGTGCTATACAGCTGAACCACTCAGGCCACTGCCGGGCACAGGGGGTGCTCAGGGAAGGTTGCTGCATGGAACCCACTCACCCGTCTGCCCGTGGCCAACCCTGGCTGTTACCTCCTTCTCCAGCAGAGAGGTCAGCTCATGAGTGGAGAGCCGGTCACTTCCGTCCTCAGAGGAGGACAGGTGCAGAGGGGCAATAGGCACCTGCTTTTCTTCTCGGAGAGGGGTGGTCTCCACCTGATGCCACCGCTGCTCGATTTCAACATGGACGTTCTGTGTCTTGAGGTCAGGGGTCATGGGCAGCCCTGGGCTCCGGTCGACCTCCATCCGTAGGGCCATGTCGTCAGTGCCTGGCCCGTCCACAGTGTCGAGCATCCCAAAGCGCTTGCGGCGTTCTTCCCGCCTCCGCGCACGCTCCCGCTCCAGCTCACCTGGCTCCACCTCGGGGTGGGCGTCGGAGGGCCCTGTGGTGCTGGCCCTCTCTTGTGCCAGGGCCTGCTGCAGGGGGCGGAACTCAGCCCAGTCAAAGGTCTTGGAGCGCCCCTCCCGCCTCCGCTCCCGAGCCCGGCTCCTCTTCTGCTCGGGGTCCGGCTCCCCGGGTTCCACCTCTTGCTTCTCGCTCGGCCTCTGGT